AGAGGCATGACTTTGAATTGAAACAATTTTAAATAGAGAAATAAAATACTAATGACAATTTAATGGCATTACTGAATATAAGTTAAAAGCAAGACTTTTCGAATTCTAGGACTGACTTAGGAGATGTGAAAAACACAGTGATTGTTTTAACATTCAAGTACAAAAACATTGTGATGTGTTTTATGTGGTTCTAGTCTTTCCTCAACACTCACAATTAGCAGCACATATTAAACGAAAAATCTTCTTAAATACATTCAGTGTCACTGTACAGAAAAGGCTTTTGTGGGTGAAAGTTGTAAAACCTCCACACCTCCAGCTGATCTCTGCATTGAGTGGAGATGCTGTGCATTTTTATACATTGGGATATTTTGATGTATTCGTTTTCGTCTGATGATGTACAGTCCTGGATGCTTCCAAGGGTGCAGCCCTTCCTTACAGGCGGGAAAGACTTGTTTTTTTAGACATCTGTATGGCTGTTCCTTCAACTTGTATATATTTTCAATAGTAATATTTTACATTTGCCTCTGTAAAAGTCAGTCAGCTCTCTTTGGCTTACATGACACACATTTGGAAGTTGCGCACGTCACATTCTCAGCAAAGACTAGCAGGGAGCCATACTTCCAGCTGTATAGTTTCCTATTACAAAAGCAACCTGTTGAAAATGCTTCTGTTAAAGCACAACAGTTCAGGAGTATAGGGTTTTTTATGGTGGGATCTATGCCTGATGATAGCATGTGGCCCTGACTGAACGAACCTCAAACAGGCTTTTTACTGCCCCATGAGCCAGCTGTGGATGCCTCACACAAACTTTGACAAGCTACACAATGTGACACTAATGCTTTAAATGTTTTCAAAATTACGATGCATGCCATTTACAGCCTGTCATATGAGTGATGCATCATTGAGCTACAATCATTGCACTGCATACTGTGAATGTCCCAGCACCATGAGAATCTCATGTCATTTGGATGAGTCACTCGCTTCTGTCACCAAACCCATAGGTGACACTTTCTATTTTGGAGGTGAATTATGTTTTGGCTTTATAATTCTCACAGTACCATAAAGCAATGTATCAAACTGCCCCGGACCCTAGTCCTTACATTGTGACTAACTTCAGGCTTGTTCCCAGCAAGTCCTATGATATACAGAAACTGAGGAAACCATATCTGTATGACCTTAACAGGTTGATATGGGTGAGTGAGTCCTCACATACAATTTTTACTTTGCCTTTGTTCACAGTCTGAAGAGATCTAATAAACAGCTCTTAACAGGACTGCATCTTGTGTACCTTCTGTGAAAGCAAAGTGACCTGAGGTCGAACCCCACAGTGGGGATTAGCAGCAGTTTTACTTTTAAAGCCTTCCTTATTGGCAGCGCTGCTCTGACATATTCGTCTGCCTATGGAGTTTGGACTAAATCCCTTTAGGTCTTTCTGCCAGTGCTCTGGCCATGATCCATGCTAGACTTCAGCTCCAGTGACATGACCCTAATACCTCCCTGTCTGTCTGGCCACTCAGCCAAGGTCCTCCTGACGTCTAATCTCTGCTCCCTTAATCTGATCTCTGATGGATTAATAGCTCACAAACTAACAAGAGATGTCTCCATTAGGCCACAGCATGGTGCGGTAAACATCAATTTATCAAGGTGATCTCGGCCTTTGTTACACACTGATTTATTTTCATCGACTTAATGACTTTAACAGTATCACCACCTTCAATTTGACTTCTTGCAGCCCAATAACTAGCTGTCTTGATTCAGGTAATATTGTTGAATTCTTTAGCCACAATGGATTTCATCATACACAAAGGGAATGCATTTTTTATACACTCTTGGATTTAAAGGCATGGCTCTGGAAGTATTCATGCCCAATTAGTTCTTAAGACTTAAATTGATTTCTATCACAACAAGCTGTTTGCATAATTCTGATTATAGCTTAACATAATAAGAAATGATTGGCTAATTCAGTTGATTTGGCTTTTATAAATATTTTGCCATTGTATTAACAAACAGCCTGTTTACATATGTAGCAGACACAGCAATATTATCCAGTTTGAATTATGTGTTTACAAATGACATTTTATATTTTTCTATTAATTAAAACGTATCCAGAGATTCTCTCCAGAGCCATTGTTTGGCTTGTCCATTCTGGGCTACTGTAGAAACATGTTGGTGCAACATGGCGGACTGGAAGTAAAGAGCTTATTCTAAAGTAACAAACACAGCAACTTTTAGCTCAGGTTAATATATACACTTTATATATTTCATTCTATTTCCTCCAAAAGATGTTGCCATGCATAATACCAAATCAATCTGATGCTATATTAGTTTTATTTCTATTCTAGATTACAACATAAATCCTATTCACATCATATTGTCAAATCGGACACAAAAGCACTGACACTGTTTCAAGTGTAAAACATGAAATGATACATTTGCTAAAAATAAAAGTTGCAAAGTCATTCGTGAAACATGGGATTGATGCTCCACTAAAATCTCACACTTGACGCACCACTCTGATATGTGTAGTATTTCATAGGGACACTTCATAGCAGCCTGGTGTTATTTGCATGCGATTTAATAAATGGGACTGCACTGTAGTGTGGCACTTCTCAAATCAGATGGTGCAGATTTACACAATTTTTGACTTGATGCCTTCAGATGGCTGCAAGGGGCGTAAAGCTCCTGCTTTAAACACAATACATGTTCAGTTATTGTTATGCTGATTAAATTTCCTCTCTTGGCTGAGGTGAAATTGTGTTTGTGTGCTTTGCATTTGCTCAGTTTGAACAGACCAGGTTCTGAGATGTCTGTTTGAAACATTATGCACAACTTTTTTTTGCTGCCTCATCTGAAAGAGCCTTCCACCAGCTTGGTCCTCTCCTTCCACCTATGCATCATGTGCTCCGTGTTTGGTACTGCACATATGGGAAAAGCAAATTTCATTCTTAGGAAACTACCTGATAACACTGCCAATCCCCAACAGCCCTGTTTCCTTCAATGTATCTTTTGGAGTGTTGCATTTGAAAAAATTGATGAAAATCACAAAATTTTAAAGGAAAACCTCCTCTATTGCAAAAATAATTTTCTTAACGCTTGCTTGAGGTGGATTTTGGATTATTTGTAATAGAGTTAATAGAAGAGATGTGCTTAATGGGAGGTGAAAACATATTTTCCAAATAAGAAGCACACATTTAACTCACATGACTGATTGGTTGGTTGTTGTGTAGCTATGGGCATTTGAATCATTGTATTTGTTTGTATGTATGAAATATGGCAAATACTAGCTAACATGTCACAAAAACATACAAATTGCTTAAATGAAAAAATGTCTGTTCATGTGACTCTTTTTCTCAGAGTTATTTTGGCAGCAAACATTCTTTCTTGTTTGTTTGTTTCCACTTCCTCTGTTTATTACAGCCATGTGTAATTACCACCTTATCATGATAATAGCCTTTTTTTGTTATTTTTTGCAACTTTAACTCTAACCCACTTCAAATTCACTTGACATTTTTATGAAATCACTGCTCATGTCTTTTTTGAAAAGTGTAGAAGACAGAGCTAAAATCAGGATGGGTTAATATCCCTTGCTCTGTCCAAAGTTAAAGGACTGTTGACTGGTGATTGCTAAGACATAGTTCCAACAATGGAGACTCCTTAAAGGTTCAGTGTGTGGAATTTTGTGGTGGTGTCATGTTGCGAATGAACACCCTTCACCTGACCCTCCACTTCCAAACATTAAAGAAAACCTATGGCAGCCTTCAGTTGTCATAAAAACTCAAAAAGTGTTTAGTTTGTCCAGTTGGGATGACTGTAAAAAACATAGCCACCTCCGTGTAGAGGACCCTCTCCCTGTGTAAATGTAAAGTATTTGAATAATAAAGAGCCCATTCTAGGGTAAAGAAACAAATTTAGAACACACTCGTGAAAACATCCCTTTCACCACACTGGACCTTTAAACCATAAAGGTTTCAATCAATAGTCTATGTGGGTTTCATTTTTGTATTTGTGTTTTTTGTACTGACTAATCAAACAACAAACACAAAGTAAAAAAACAAGGGACAAAGTGTTAATCGGTGGGTGTTTTTTAACTTTGGATGGGGAAATGCTAACTGTAAATCTGTATGTATATAGATATATATATCACTCATAATATTCTCACCCTTACACAAACATATTTCTCCACATTTTGAGCTTCTTCGCTAAAGGATATCTTTCTCTCAAAACTCTGGCACAATATGAATTAAAATATACGTCACTAGTGTACATTTATTGTGGGTTTACTTTACATACAGATGACAGCAATTTGATTTCAGCTCATGTATGTGTGAAAATAATCGTTCTACTTCATTATCGTCTTCCTCTACAGCTCTGCCACATGTGCTGAAGTGCTGATCTGACTGGGATGAGTGGGAAGGAAAGGGCACGGGTGACTGGTTCTCTTCTCGCAGAGCAGAACAACAGCATGCATGTGGGAGTGCTTGTGTGTGTGTGTTTGTGTGCGCACATTAATCACACCCACAAACTATACATGCATTTTTACAGTCAGCTTGGTAATCATGTGTGTTATAAATGTCATTTCTGAAGGGCTCATGCTCTAATATGACAAGGTGTCAAGCAATGACTTTATAGCCTCCTCAGCTGCTCTTTCCATCTATGTGTGCATCTGTGAGTAAGAGGACTTGTTAGTTTGAGCCAGACCCCTGCTGGGATGCTGCAAACAGCCGACAGCTTAGAGGTATTAAAAGATTATAGAATTAAGGGACCCTCGTTCATTTTAGCTCCTTACCAATGACAAACCGTTCCCCCTGGATAACTATCTAGTGGTAGAAAGTATGAACAGAGAGCAGTTCAGAACACGATGGTAATCTCTGTGCAGGGTAATCTCTCTGAACAGCTAAGAGCATACACATGAGCAAAACCTCCCGTCGTCAAATAGATGCTCGACATAACTGTGGCAGAGGCAAAGGCAAACAGTAACAGTGATAGAGAGGTCTACTCACCGGGTGTGTGTGTGTGTGTGTGTCCTCGAGCAGGTGATTGAAGAGTGTGTGAGGCAAGGTACAGCTCACTCTCACAGCGTATCCAACATTACTGAGCCTTGGGTTGTGTCGGGAGATTGTGTAGGCTGAGAGAGGCTGACTCTCTCTCCCCCTCTCTCTCTCTCTCTCTCTCTCTCTTACTGAGCCCCACCATTTGCCTGAAATAACCACCAAACAATTGCTCCACAAAAATGCACATGCACACACACACACACACACTTTAATTGGGGTTTATTATCCTTGGATAAGAGACTTTTCTCAGATGTAAACCATTTGCCAAGCTCTGTTAGTGAGCAGAATCCATTTCTGTCCAACAAATGTTTGCCAAACCTTGTACCACTTCTATCAGAACACCAACCTGTTTATAGTAGTATTTTTTATTCCAAACTTCTCATTGATTGATTGTAGATTCTAGACTTTCTCTGAAAAATAGTATCTGCCAATATAAAAGTAAAGGTAAATTCCCTGCTTAGATGATGGCCTTCTAATAAAACGTGTGCATCTTGGCAGTTGATAGGTGGGACATTTTTTTAAAAATAGTACAGGTAGAAACAACTACCACACCCAGAATGCACTGGGTTCCCAGGCCTCTCTCCCAGACAGATGGGGGGGCTGTACTAGGAAGCTAGTTCAACCTACTCTGAATTGAACAGGGTTAACAAAGGAAGTCGGGCTGGACAAACCCTGGTTCAATGGTGTTCAACCCTAGTGTTAAACTGTACTACGAAGCTGGTAGGAAGTTGTGTTGTTGAGTCCATGTGCATGTTCGGCAGTGCAGACACATGCACTGTATTCCACAGATGAGTGCACGTTGATTGAGCGGATACATAGAGATTAAAGAAGGTTAAAGGTGCAATGTGAAACTGTTAGACCAAACAGTCAGGAGGTTTATTAAAACATATTACTGACTGAGTACATTTATAAGGGAAATGTCAAGGTTTTTTATTGTGACAAGATTTCTAGAATCATAATTTTTGATGTGATCGACATGTAGAGATGAAAAAGTGTGAATTATAGTGACCAAAGTTTTCAGTTATCAGTATTATCTCTGTGTTGGTCAAAAATGACTGATACTCAAACTACTAATTACACTAAGTTTTATATTGATATAATATATATTATACATAAAAATGATGATGTTATTTTTATAATTTAACAAAGGTTGACAGCTTGTTGCATTAGGTGGAGACATCAACCCCATATGTCAGACTCAGGTCAAAATATAAGCGTTTGTAAAACGCAGGCAATTTGGCAACCGTGGATGTTAGCATTTGTTAGCTATGGACAGAGATTACTAACAGTTGTTACAGCCTCCACCTGCCTACCACTCCTTCTGCCATGTTTTTACAACACACAACAAATGCTGCCTCTTGGAGACTTGCTTACTTTGGCTGATGCTGGACAGTATCAACCATATCATGATGGTACAGTGTTTCCTCGAAGATTCTTTTAGTAGTGGGGGCAGGCCAACCACGCCCACACACAATCATGATCTGAAATAAATAAATAAATGAATGAATAAATAAAATGTATATGTATGATGTAATAGTGTTCTTCTCCTGTCTTCTAACAACCACATGCCCTGATTGGCTTTTGTGCAGCTTTCAAGTTTGACACCAATGAATTGCCTAAAAATGTAATAAGATAAAAGCATGTTGATTATTTGCAGAGCTTGTGCGATCCTCTTGAGATTGCAAGTTGAACACAAGTTGGCAGCAAAAACTGGGTTGGGTGCCTTCATAGAGGGCATGACTTTAATTATCATTCAGCGTACAAAAAGCAATAGACTTGCAGTGGACTTGTATTATTTCTGCAAATGAAAACTCAACAAGAGGACAAAACAGGGAAATGCTGTTTGCTGTTGATAAGATTAAACTTACCTTGTTTTAAAAGTAAACCAGGAGCAGGATGTATAAGCAGCAGTAGGTATAATTTTTTGCTGTCAGTCATCATGGAAATTTTCATCTTCAATTCTTTCTTATCTTAGATCTTGAATAAAAATCAATCTAGAGACTTTAATGCCTATTTTGTTCCTATAAGTTGACAGATCATGGGTTGCCAAATGATTATGCATAGTGGACCAAAAAATACTGTATTATACTGTAAATGTTTCCCTCAAAGGCATCAAGATTTATAGTATTGAACTGCATTGAAGAAAAACTGCTCTTTTTTCCCTGTATTTTTACAGCAATGTCCCATTCTTGATGACTCAAAGCACTTTCCTGTACGGTTTGGCCATTAACACACACATTCATACAGTGCATCTATGTGCAGCACTTTCCAATCATACACTGCCACCACAGCTGTCAAGATTCAAAGATTTTATTGTGAAATACACAGAGAACACACGTTTCCCTATGAATTGAAATTCTTGTGCTGTCCTTTCTGGAATACCGAACAAATTTACATAAGAAAACAATATTTACATAAAATACAATAAGGCTATGAACATATAAAAATAAGGCAGAAACAAGGCGAATGAGGTGAATAAGGTGAGGATTGTGCAAAACTGAGCGGTGCAAATTGAACAGTAACAGTGAAAAATTAAATAAAATGTATACAATATAAATGTAAACAGTACAAATGGAATACTTTAAGTTAAAGTGCAGACCAGTGTTGCAGTTGTGAGGTAGATTAGAGTCCTGTCAGCTGTTGAGGAGTCTAATGGCAGTGGGGAAGAAAGAGTCTGGTTGTCCTACATTTAACACTTCTGTACCTGCTGCCTGAGGGTAGAAGTGTGAACAGTCCATGTTGGGGGTGGGTGGGGTCTTTAAGAATGGAGGCAGCTCTCCTGTGAACCCTGCAGTGGTGAATGCTCTGCAGAGAGGGCAGTGAGGTCTTGACGATTTTTCTGCTGTCTTCACCACTCTCTGCAGGCGTTTGCGGTCCATAGTAGATGTGCTGRCGTACCACYCGGTGATGCAGCTGGTCAATATGCTCTCYATGATGCAGCTGTAGAAGTTGCTGAGGATCTTAGGAGACATCCCAAACTTCCTCAGCCTCTGACAGAAGAGTCCTCCCTTGTGGCTGCAGCTTTGCACACATCCCAGTCTGTTTGAGCAAAACAGTCCTGCAGGATGCCCTCAGTCTCTGTGGTCCAAAGCTTAACTGACTTTGTGACAGGGTTGGATTGTTTCAGTTTTTGTCTGTAAGCTGGATACAGGAACAGTGAGATGTGGTCTGAGTGTCCGAAGTGGGGGCGGGGAGCTGCCCTGTATGCACCGCGTATGTTGCTGTACACATGATCCAGGGTGTTCTTATCACGGGTGGGGATGTCGATGTGTTGGTAATATTTGGGAAATATAGTCCGTAAATTACACTGGTTGAAGTCTCCAGGGGTGATGAGGACGGCATCAGGGTGAGCCGTCTCTAGCGCGCTGATGACATCATACGGTTTCCATGCATTGCTTGTAGGAGTAGGAACAACTTCATAGTTAATCTGCTGAACCAACATTTTTAGTAGCAATGGTTTTTGACATTGCGTTGTTGAATGGAAGAGGAAATGAGTAAGATATCTTCAGTATTGTAACAAAGCAATGTTACTTGTGAACTTAGTCTGTGCTCAGATGTCTGATTCTGCTGCTGGCTTCGGTAGTTTTCTTCTTTTGCTTTTTGGGATCCTGAGCTACGTCTCAAGTGCTCTACTGTTCATACGTGCCCTAAACTTTGTGTAACATTACAGATGAACTGGAAAGGCTGTCAACACACTGACTCCTCTTACGTTTCCATTGGTGCATATTTTCCAAAGTGGCACCACTGTCCCCGTTATGAAGCAACTCTGTTACGTTTTGTGGGGAGAGGGTAAGGGAGCAGGTGGACCCAAAAGGTTTTCAACAAAAAGTGTCCTTTAATGAATAAGGTAGGGTATAATAACAAAATCCAAAATCAACAGTAAACTCAAAATGCTCTCAGGAAAAAAACAGCGGAGACACAAGGAAACATGTTACGGCCCCAGCCCATGCCTGTGTCCTGTCTGTGTATGGTGTGTATGCTGTGTGGGTGTGTCTTGCAGGTTGCTGATTGTTGGCCGGCTGGAAGTTCCTGTGCATGGCTCCCTGATTGGCTTGCTGATATAAACCCCCTGCCATGGGCTGTCTCGCTCTCTCACTCATCTCTGAGATCTCCATCCTGCTGCACTTACTTTTGTTATGTTCTGCACCTGACAACATGCACCACACATACTACATAGCACTCAAACACCCTCACACACTACTGACGCTCACTTGCACACTCCATCGCTCAGTTCCGTTTATGTTAAATCAATAAAGCATATTGTAATTTGCGACATCACACTGCCTTGTCTATGTGTTGTTGCGGCCTCAGAGCCAGACATAACAAAACACAACAGACTTACTGGAAACAACGGGTGGTGAGACAGGGACACAGGGACATGGAATGGCATCTCACAACAACGAACTGAAAAAGACATAGGGAAGCACAAAGACTTAAATACACACTGAACTAATGAGAAACTAGAGACAGGTGGCACAGGACAATGAGGCGAACCTGACGAGGGCAGGAAGTCCAGGGGGAAAACACACCAGGAGCAGAGACTACAAAATAAAACAGGAAACAGAGATGAACACAGAGGGGAACACAGGAGAGGGGACACAGAGAGTGTAAAAACTTTTCCAAACATAAGAAAACACAGTCCATAATAGAAAAGAGGACCAAAAACACAGGAGACATGACACAACTGTACACTATCCTGTGGTGGCCTCATCCTCCCCTATGCGCTGTAGTTCCTCCACAGTGTATTTGTATTTGTAATTGTACATAAGAATCTTTTAGTATCCTTTAGTAATTGTGCAAGTCTGTTCAACTGAATATGAGTCAAATTAATAATTTAAACTCATATAGAAGCCACATACGTGAAAAGCTAATTGATTATCATTAGGTGAAAATCTATAGACTGTAATATTGGTGCATTAAAACGGAATCCAGTTGATCATGGACTCACCACGCCTTCACTGCAGATAAACCAGTTCAGATGAACAAAACGTTTTCTAAATTCACTCTGCACCATACACTGTACCCCGT